AAAAAAAAAAAAAAGGAAGATAGCTCAGCAGCATAAGCACCTGCCTGGCAAGCACAAGATCCTGAGTTCGACCCCTAGCATGAAAAAATAAAAAATAAAATAAAAGATTATTTTAAAAAATTACAAGGAATCAAATGGGACAACAAAATATAAGGTGATATTCTGGAAAGGATCTTAGAACCGGGAAAGGTCATCACATAAATGAATCAGATGTCTTTTTTTTTTTTACTGTGGAACTGGGGATCGAACTCAGGACCTTGTGGTTGCGAGACAGGCGCTTATGCTGCTGAGCTATCGCCTCAGCCCTCAGAAACGGTCTTTAGTCAATATACCCATAAATGTTCTATTATAGTGGATATTCCGATGATAGCTGACTCGGATGGGTTCATCCTCATTTTGATGGATCCCATAGAATGTGTTGGTAAGTTCTGCAGGTTTCACTAGTCATGACAAATGTTCTATGCTAATATGTTAATAATACTGGGGCATATGGAAACAGTAATATCCATGTAGTAATTCTGTAAATTAAAAGAAAACAGAAATCTCCCTCTACCGTAGGGTGTGTTAGTGTTAGGGTGTTTTGTAAAATGAGGTAGGAGCATTTTCTGTTTGTAGGAAGTGAAACCTGAATGAAAGACCTCAAAGTCTTCCCCAGCTTACTACTGTGGGGAGCCACACAGGGTAGAAAGAGAAAAGCAGCATGATGTAGGAAAATGCACCTACGAAAGTCCCAGGGCTGGTGCAAAATGCTTTCTGTACTTAGCCAAGTTGTATCCCAGAGTGCTCATACCATGTGCCCTAAGTCCACAGCCAGTAAACAGCAGGCCAGGGGCCGGAGAGCTAGTTCAGTGACTCAAGCGCCTGCCTGGCAAGCACAAGGTCCTGAGTTAATTCCCAGTACCAAAAAAAGAGGGAAAAAAGACAGTGGGCCAGCCTATAGTCCAAGTTTCTCCGGCCCTAGCTGTTTATAGGTGCCATAGAATCTCGGAAGATCTAGGTAGACACCAAGACATCCAGGCCAAGCCCTGAGCTTAGTATCCCCCAAAGGACCCATATCCTAAAATGCCACCCCTCCTCACTAGGCACAAAAGACAACTCAGTCAACTCAGGGACAAGCCAAGTGAAACCACAGAAAGAGCCAGAGATTTCACCACGTAGTCCAGACTGGCTTCAAATTCATGGTAACCTACTGCCTCCGCCTCTTAAAGGCTGGGATTACAGTTGTGTGCCACCACACCTGGTAAAGTCTGTAATTTCATGTAGATGTGAGATCTCAGGGGAGGCCCTAGGAGAAGAAAGATGTTGTCCATATCCAGCAGCTATTCTGGGCACAGGAGCCCACTTACCCCTGGTTTGAACGATGGCAGGCCCAGCCCCACACCAATAGTGGCCTTGTTAGGATTCACCACTGAATTATAGTGGATATTCCGATGATAGCTGACTCGGATGGGTTCATCCTCATTTTGATGGATCCCATGGAATGTGTTGATAGGTTCTGCAGAGAAAAAAAAAGGAGGGAGCATCCACGGGGGGCCAGGTATGGCAGGCTCAGACCAGGTAGCCTTAGTCCCTCACCTACCCACTACAGAAGTACCTGTGCTGTACTGGTACACCTCCACAGGACGGTTGTACATCTCCGCCATGGCCTGCATCTCGATGTGGTTCCCGTGGCAGTTGTTTTTCCGCTTCCGGTTGATGTAGGTGGTAAAGTCCTCTGTGACGTAGTTGGAGAAGTAATCAGCATTCTTCATCTACAGAACAGATTGGGAGATGTGAATTTACATACAAAGAAGATCCCTCAGCCCATCCCTTGCCAAATGCTACATCAATGCCTCACCAGGTAGTCCATACAGTGCTTTCGCACAACTTCGTGCATATCCTGGTCTCCATATACCTGGTCAGCTGGGGACAGAAGAAAGAAGAGGCTAGGTTGAGAGCTGTCACACAGAAGAGATCTGAGTCACAGAACATGTTTGAGGGAGGGGAGGCTAGGGGATTAGGGAAGCCCTTTCTTACCCCAATGCCTGGAGAATCCTTACCCCTGTGGCTGGAATGGGTCATGGAAAAAAAGGCAGACAGGGACAATCCTGACCAAAAGGGTGAGACTGATACAATAACAGGTCTTTCAAGCACATGACTGTTTAGGGTACACCTGATCAATCAGACAAATGAATAACCTTCGAAGTCCAGTAAGTTACACAATCCATTCCACACTCCTTAATTCCCACATGAGACTGAAGTTGAGGGAAATTTCATGGTTTGCCCAAGGTCACAGAGACTCCTTCTGTGCCAAAGTCAACTCTGGAATTCAGTTTTCCTTGCACCCAGGAACCAGCATGGCCTTTGCAAGTTAAATTAAAAAGATTAGCCAGGTATGGTAGCACACGCTGTAATCCCAGCACTGGGAAGGCTGACGTAGGAGAATCACTGCAAATTTGAGGACAGCTTGGGCTACAAAGTGAGTTCAAGGCCAGCCTGAATGGCATTATGAGACTGTCTCAAGCCCCTAATCAAGCAATCAATAAATAAAACAAAACACCTAGCTAGAAATGCAGCTCAGGGGTAGAATATGCTAAGCAAGATGCCTTGGGTTCAGTCCCCAGGAACAAAGGAAAAAACGAGGAAGAAAAGAATAGGAGGTATGAAAAGTATAAAAATGAAGTATAAGAAGTAAAGCCATGCTGTTATGTTGAGCTGTAGGGGACTCAGGTCAACAATTTCTGACATTGCCAGTCAAGCAGAAGCCCCAATACTA